GCAGTTATGTAACTTTGTGTATTTTTTTTTTTTTTTTTAAAGAGAGAGAGCAAAAATTAATTTGGAGGCTGGTGACAAAAAGCCAGCCAAGCTATAAGGTTTCAAGTCGGAAAGATGCCCCTTTTTGCCTATTCTTTCCATGTTTATTTGTTTTTACAATAAATGTGTTTTTTTACAAGTATGATTTATTGTATTACTTTGTTGCTTGTATGTATCCTGAGAGCTTCTGTACCAGAGAGAAATTCCTTGTGTGTCCCATCACAACTGGCCTATAAAGAGTATTTATTTACCAAATCTCTACACTGCCCACCACACTTGTGTGCATTGTAGACTATCTTCTGCCTATTCTTTCCATGATTATTTTTATTTTATGTATTTAACTAATTTCTACACTATTCACCACACTTGTGTATATCTGGGACATCTTCTCCCTATTCTTTCCATATTTTTATTTTATGTATTTAACAAATTTCTATACTGCCTATCACACTTTATTGCTTATTCTTTCCATGTTTATTTATTTTTACAATAAATGTGTTTTTTTATAAGTATGTTTTATTTTATTACTTTGTTGCTTGTATGTATACTGAGAGCTTCTATACCAGAGAGAAATTCCTTGTGTGTCCCATCACAACTGGCCTATAAAGAGTATTCTATTCTATTTATTTAGCAAATTTCTATACTGTCCACCATACTTGTGTGCATTCTAGACCATCTTCTGCCTATTCTTTCCATGTTTATTTTTATTTTATGTATTTAGCAAATTTTTATACTGCCCACCACACTTGTGTATATCTGGGACATCTTCTCCCTATTCTTTCCATGTTTATTTATTTTTATTGTATATATTTAGCAAATTTCTACATCTGTCCATCACTACATCTTCAGCTTATTCTTTCCATGTATTCTTTTTCTTTTTCTATACTGCCTATCACAAGAGAGTGCCTCTGGGCTGTTTACCAAAAAATTCAATTACAAAAATGGTGCAAATTGCAGGCACCAATGACTATCTTACAATTAAACAACTCCAGGTAAGGCAAAAATTGGACACCTTATTGGGAAGATTGCATCTCGCCCAAACTCCTGTTTCGTGGCTACTTTGCAAAAATAGCAATCGTCCGTTGGAAAATTATCTTGGAAGGAGAGAAGTTAGCAAACTCTTGGGCTTCCTTTTACTCTTTCCAAAGCACGTTTGTGGCACACGTAACACATGCACAAACGCTGAGTCTGAAATCACACTGAGCTACTGTGACACGCAACATGGAGGCTACAAATATCAGGAATTCTTTTAATGATGCCCACAAGGAAGTCAACAGGCTGGGCTGACACATTTCATCAAACCAGTTTGCTTAATCCTTGGTCCGTCAACTCACCCCCCACTGGATAGTGTACCCATCTATGCTGAGCCATAAACCATGGTTTGCCAATGATCAAGCCAGGTAAGACTCATGTGAACAAACGTTTCTATGTTTGTAAAGAGCAGGCCCTGCATCCATCACAATCCTGCATCGGTCAAGAAATTGTGTTCAATTTCATTTTATCTCCCCAAAATGTATTTATGGGATCCAGCTGTTGCTGGGACATTCTTCCCCCCCCCCATTCCTACAAACCAAAATCCTTCAAGGAATTTCCAAACATGGACTATTTTAGACCCCAATAGCAGAAAACTCTCTGCTAATATATATATATATATATATTTAATTACCATCCAGAGGCAGATCTGGTTCTCTAAATACAGGAGATCTGCTACTTAAATCCATTTTTTCCTCTTCCAATCAGAAAATAAACTCAAAATAAATAAACTCCTTCTTTAAACACCTGGACCACTTTTTACACAATTATTCCCCATCCGGAGGTCACGCGATGGCTTTTTTTTCATTAAAACACCCCCCATCACTTTCTGCCCCATATTGGTGTTTTACTTTACCAGGTTTGGACAGAAGAGTGTTCACACAACTCCTTGTTCCGATTCAGGCAGCTTCATCTTGGTTTATTGCCCAAACCGTAATGGGCTGGGTTTGTGTAACAGGGCAAAAACTTTTTTCCCAGAAAGGAGACTTAGAATTTCACCCTCTTCTTCCTCACCTCATCTTCGTCATTCCTCATCATCTGACCCTTTCAGGAATGTTCTTTCTGCTTTTAAAAATGTTATTTTTATCCTGTTTCTGTAGCCTAAGGACAAGGGCTGGCTTTATTATTATTATTTATTTCTTTTTCTTTGCATTTATCTCTGTGCCAGAGATTCTTAACTTTGGCAGCTTTTAAGAGGTGTGGACTTCAATTCCCAGAATCCCCCAGCTAGCCCATGAGTTGGTCGAAGAACAGAGCCAGATGTTTAAAATCCATTTTTTTTTTTAAAAAAAATCCAGCAGACCCTGTTCTTTATCATCTGAAGGATTCCATTTCCAGGCCCAAATTTTTCCAGAATAACAGCTCCAATTTTACACATTGTTTGGGTGACTTTCTATTTCCTTGAGAGGGAATATCAACATTCATACTAAAGGCATTCCGTTGTTTTCCCTCTTAAAATTGAAAATATTTTCCCCCCTCGCTCGCTTGGAATTTTGACTGCAAAAGCCGAGGAATCTCATTCTTACCATCGTCTCGTCACTTTAAATACTCCCCCTCCTTTAAAACCCTCCTTCATTTGTTAGTCCCCCTATTACACACTCATAATTAGCTCTCAGGACCACCCACATTAAAATCCTTTTGAAATTCCAGTTGTTCTGCTCTAAAATACCCCAATGCTTTCCGTTGGGATCCATATTTAGCAGACTATAACTGCTCACCCCCCAAAACAAGTTACCTTCTGCTTAAAACAGGAATGTGCAACCTTAACAACTTTGAAACCTGTGGACTCAGTCATGTTGGCTGAGGAATTCTGGGAGTTGAAGTCTACAAGTCTTAAAGTTGCCAAGGTTGGACACTTCTTGTCTAGTAAAGAAATATTATCTCATCGTTATGAGCTTCAAACGTGCTTTAGACTAGACTAGGAATGCGCAACGTTGGCAACTTTAAGACTCATGGACCTCAACTCCCAGAATTCCTCAGCCAGCAATTCTGGGAATTAAAGTCCACGAGTCTTAAAGTTGCCAAAGTTAGGCACTTCTTGTTTAGAAAATAAAGCTGGTTTAGTGTGCACTACTTTCCAAACAATTTTATAAACACAAGCAAAGCAAAAATATCTAAGATTGCTCCAAAAGGCAACTGTGGCAGGATACGATCTAGATATCAACAAAGGATTCTTCAACATGTGCAGAATTTTTGTTGTGCTTTCTTGTCCTTTTCTAATCTCCCTAGAGGCCTGTAGCAGCGAAGGTGCTGGATTAAAAGCAGAAAACACACACACACACCCCCTTCTCTCAGGCCCTAACAAACGCTACTCCGGAAAATTCACTTCCGACAACTTTGCCAAGAAAACTCACATGGAGCAGGCCCGAAGGACTATTAACAACAGAACAAACAACACGCTTTGTGCCTTTTCACAACTAGGCAGGGATGGCGAACGAACAGAGGAGAAAATGGAAGCAAGACACCCCGATTTTATATTATATCTGAGTTTAATCTGCACTATAAAGCACGCACAATTCATGCATTCTTATGGTCCTAAAAAGCAACATTACGCCATGTTACATGTGGCGATCAGGGACAACAGCCCCCCCCCAACACCACAGTTGCCTTCACACCTCTTACAAAGCTGAATTGTGGATTTGTTTGCTTTTGGCTGGGTCGGCTGTTTGTTCATTAAGCCGCTTCCTTCGTTGGTGTCCGATATCACCCCCAATCTTTTCAATTTGCAGGCTGCTGCTTGAGACTGATGGTCAAGAGGGACCTCTGTCCTTTCCTTAGGACCCCAAAGCAGGGTTTCTGCCTGGGGGGGGGTTGGTCTGGACTCCCCACTTTCTTCCTCTTTCTTTCTAAATAGACCTGAGATGGTGCTCCCAGCAGCTGACTTATCCGGCTAATTAAGCAATGACTGATAGGAGAAATGACACTATAAAAGGGTGTGGAGAGTCAGGGGGTGTGTGAAGTTTCTCCAAAGCTCCCCCCCACTCCTCAAAAAGACCCCCCTCGAATTTCTTCCCCTTCTCTAAGCTAGACCAGGAAACCTACCATTTAAACGCCTTCCAGATGCAAGGCCTAGCCACTTCCTCTGGCTTTGATTCCCCACCCCATCAAGGCCCACCCCCAAAGCCTTTTTAAAAGAGACCCCTGTTTTGGGGGTTCACCCACCCTGCTGAACCAGCGTGAAAAGCCAGCAGGTCCCTTCTGATAACCTGCCACGGATGGAGCCTGTTGGGTGAGCCTATCCACGAGGCCATTCCACGATTCAAGTCGTTGCTCCCTTCTCCCCATCATTTAGGGGTGCATGCAGCTCCTCTGTGCCCTTAAGCAGGGTCCAGTGGATTGTGCGAACCCCATAGCACCATCCTGACTCTGTCAGGATTTGGATGAAGAACGAATGTCAGACAAAACTCAAACACAGGCCCCCTACAAGGTAGGCCTGCCTTCCCCAGCCAGTCCCCCTGCTCAACCGTGGTCCCCTTCTTCGAGAGGGACACCCCCTTTTCAGAGGCTCCCCTCTCCCCGAACCGGACTCCCCTCTCCAGACCTTTCCTGGGTAGGGGGAGCCTCTCCAGCCTGCCTTGCAAATGCCCCTTCCCACGACACCCCCCCCGCAAACATACAACACAAACATACACACAGACACACAGTGCCTGCCAAGCGCGCATGGGGACGCCGGTTATTCTTGCCCCTTTCCCAAGACCGCGACTCGCCCGTGTGCGCAACGAGCCCTGTCAACAAATCCTCCCGCACCGGCCCCGACACGTGTCGGCCCCCTCCCTCCCTTCGGAACCGCCCACCCGCGCGTCTCCTCCTCCTCCCCCCCTCCGTTCGCCCAGCTGCATCGCCAACCGAGCCCGCGGCGGGCGCCACCGCCATCCCCACCCCCCCCCCAGCCGCTCCTCCTTTCTTCCTCCCGGCCGGCCGGTACTTACTGCGGGGGCAGCTGGAGGGGCGGCCCACCCCGCCGCTGGAAGGCTCCGTCGACGAAGACGCCGTTCTTACCGAGGCAGCGGAGGAAGAAGTGGGGCGCGCGGAAGGCCAGCTCCAGGTGGCGGCGGGAGATGAAGCTGGAGTGGCCCATGTGCACGTCCACCGCGCCCTGCGAGGAGTTGCGCCCGATGCTCACCGCCGCCTGGCGCATCAGGAACTCGAAGTCGCGGCCCTGCAGCCGGGCCAGCGGAGCCCCGCCGCCGCCGGAGGAGGAGCAGGAGGCCGAGGAGGGAGCGGCGGGCATCAGGGGCAGCAGCAGCGGCGGCGGTGGAGGCAGCGGCGGGGGCGCGGCGGGGCTGCAGGGCGCCGAGCGCAGCGCCACCAAGGCTCCGCCGCCGCCGCCGCCGCCGCGCCCGTCCTCGCCGACTTCAGCCATCTTCCCCCGCCAGCCAGCCAGCGTGCGAGCCAGCCAGCCAGCCAGCCGACTCCCCCGCCGGCCTCCGGGGCGGAGCCGCGGCCGTGGGGGAGCCGCCCCGCCGCCGCCGCCGCCGCCGCTAATGCGCCCTGCTTGGCTAGGCTGAGTGCCGGCGTTGCGCACGGGCTGGCTCGGCGGGGGCGGGCGAGGGGCGGGGGTCGACGGGGGGGGCGGAGAGGGGCGGGGCCGGTCGAGCTGGCACAGGCGTCCGCGGACCCCCGCCCGCGAGTGGGCCCCCCGAAGAGGGCTGGCAAGGGGAGTGCGCTTGGAGAGGTTGGGGGGGGGGTCGGTCCCGGCTGGATGCGGACTTCCCGCGAGTGTGGAATGAGGGATGTGTGTGTGTGTGGGGGGGGGGGTTAAGGTGTGTTTGTGTGTGTCTGAGTGACCCCGGAGGAGGGTGCAGCGGGTGGGGGGGGGGAAGGAGGCGACCGCGTGGCCGAGCAAAACAAACACGATCGGGCTGGGCTGAGCCGGCCCCGTGGCTCCGGAGGGGCGAGGGAGCGTGGTCCTTTTCCACGGAGGGCACGGGTGGGGTGGGCTCTGGGGCTTTCTGGAGGGGTGAGAGGGGGTGGGGCGTGTTGCAAGGATTGGGGGGCCTTGCAGGAGTTTGCTGGGCTGGGGACGATGTGAGTTGCGGTCCGCGTGGCCTGGAAAGCGAGGGGGGGGGATACTGGCACCCGCGGAGGTCTCGGGGGGTGTGGGGAGAAGAGAAAACAGGTCGGAGGGAACAGAAACTGAACTGGCGCAAAAGGAGGCTGGCACGGATGTAGGGATGGGTGGAGGCTCCCGACGTCAGCCCGGGGAGGGCCGGTCGTGGCAGCCGACTTGGGGAGGGAGGAAAGGCCGTTATGCAACCCTCTGGCAAGGAGAAGGAAGCCTGCCCTTCGGAGTCCCGCTTGGGCTGCGTTCATACGACCCTTGCTCCTGTTGACTCGAATGCACGTGTTCGGGCTTGCAAAAATCCACGGGTGCACCTTAGGCTGAGTTCGTGAAGCCCTTAAGCAAGAAACCAAAGACAGGTCGTGTGAACGCAACCTCTTAACGCGGTAACCTTAGTTAAGCGTCCTTTTCCGTTGCAAAACGGCTTGTTTTCATCCGTCCAGGATGTGCCAGGCAAGGCATGCCCGGGCCAGGCAAGTCGTATCCGCCACCCAATGCGCGGCGGGCATTGAGCAGCGCGCAGGGATCAGCGCACCATTGCAAAAGAGCGCAAGTGTCAGCTGGACCTTGACAATTGGGGTGGGAGGGGGTCTCCTCCGGAGTGAGATACAGTCGTGCAAGCCACGTGGTGTCGGACAGACCTTTCGGTTGGTCCTGGTGGCGCCCCCCCCTTTACACGCCCCTTTTAATGTCTAGTAAACTCGGCTCTTTAAGAATTATGGGAGTTGAAGTCCAGACATCGGAAAAGTGGCTAACTTTTAAAAAACACAGATTTGGGGGAAAAGGGATGATGTTCTCTCCCCCCCCCCAGTGTCACACCTCACCCCTTGGTACCTTCACCATAAACTCGCTAGATGTAACTTCTCCAGAAAGTTTTCTAGACAAGGTCTTCTTTTTCAACCTGGTTTCAAACTGCAAAAGAAGGAAAATTAAAGTTTAGGGGGCACTTTTAACAAAAGAACACACAACGCTCTCCCAGCTGGGAAATGACAGCTTTAGGAGGGGGCAGGGTTGTCTGGATGTGTGTCACACAGATGTTAGCCAATCCGATGGGTGGCTGGGGAATTCTGGTCCTTGAAGTCCACCCATCTTCAACATCTACACAGCAAGGGTCTTCCAACTTGGCCCTTTTGTGACTTGTGGACTTCAACTCCCAGAATTCCTCAGTTGAAGTCCACAAGTCACAAAAGGGCCAAGTTTGAAGACCCCTGGTCTACAGAGATTCTCAATCATCCAGGTCATGATTGTCCCAAAGGTCTTTTTTTTTTTTTTTCAAAAAGCAACTGGACGTGATTTTTTTTTCTTTGAAAACATTTCCCTTCTCATCCAAGAAGCTTCTTCAGTTCAGAACTGATCTGGATGATTGAGAATCTCCATAGACATTGAAGATGGGCTGAGAAACTCTGCTTTAAAGAGTATTCTAACATAGTTTGATCGTCTTTCTAAATCGGTCAGGTTATTAAAGAAGTGAGTTTATTTTTTTTATCCCAGATTGAGACATTTAATGAGGGTATCCCAGACTGAGCCATGTTTTTCCAAAATATAAAGTGTCTGTAGTCTACCAAACATTAGATAAACTTTAAAAAAACATTTTGGACTGACCCAGAGTGAAATACACACACAAAAGGAAAAAAAGGGGGGCGGGGGAGTTGACAAACTTTAAATGCTTTTTGTTTTTATAAAAACATTTTTGTAAAAGTGTACACATGAAGGTGGGTGTATTTTTACATGAAAGAAAAGTAGAAAAATCTTGTTTTCTGTTTGTGTGAACAAACTAGGTCTGGAATCCGAAAATAACACTTCCTTGAGTTTTACAGCTTGGATTTTAGTAATCTTACACTCATCAAGAATATATTAGCACTTTTTTTTTAAAGCATGTTTAGAATTTGGAAAGCTGTATAATCTATTTTTTGGTGCCAATTTTCTTTCCACGGTTATATTTTTCGCCTGCTTTCTGCAAACATATTGGGCAGGAAATTGTTATAATAAAATATTGTTATAACAATATTATAAATGGTTATAATTGAGTATTATAAAGGATGCAGAACGTTTTTACAATGAGAGCCAAACAGGAAGGTGGGGAACGATAGGAAAAAAAGGCAAAAAACCAGATTTTCCTTCTGTTCCACTCTAACTAGGTGAAATAAACTGCATTAAAATGTGTTAAAAGGAAGGTAATCTTCATGAACAAAGCTTCTGGTTTCTTCTAGCCCCAAAAGTTGACAGCACTTTTTTTTTTACAACAGCTGTGAAATAGTTGTTAGCACCATAATGACAAGACGGCATACTACCAGCTTTGTGCCAGCTGCAAATATCATCTGTTGCCAACAGATTTATTTACTAAACTACTTTTAAAAAAATATAGAGTCTGTTATGTAAGTTTCAGCATTGCTATGGTGTCCCATTTCCATGTTCAAAGTGCAACTTGGGAAGGAACCTGTTTCTTAGCAAGTCCAGAAATGAGACTTCAAAGTCATTGGAAGGCGTGGAAGCTGAGTTGAGAGGATTGTGGCTGTTTTTCAAGGATGGTGTCATTCAGGGATACATTGGGGCTACTGCAGTGTTTCTCAACTAAAACAACTTTAAGGGGGGGGGGGCTTCAACTCCCAGAATTCATCGTTCCCGTTCGAATTGATGAGGTTGAGAAACCTTGGTTGTGCTTCTTTGGGTGCCTGCTAGATGGCAGCAAAAAACCAAACATTTTTCCGTAGGACTTTACTGCCATCTAGTGGCCGATCAAACATTTTTCATGAAGCGGTGTATAAGTCTCAGTGCTATTGCTAAGTCGGCTGTGCAAGCTCTGTTGCACTCTTCCTGACCCCTTTTGCTAGGGCTCCAGCAAACCGATGGCCTGATCAACAACTCCATCTAGTGCTGGGTGGATACATGGATGGTTCCAGCCTGCAGCCTTGGTCAGCTGTTTTGCTTCTTCAGGATGCTCGCCAGTGAGCACTACCTTGAAGTTCGGGTAAATTGATAGCTCGCCGCACCTGTCTCTTGGTTCTGCTGTCAAGACAACTCCCATGTTCCTTTGTTGGGAAGATGAGTGTGTTTTCCTGCCATCATTTTTTTCCTGCTAATAACAAACAATTTCTCCAGAAAAGGAGATTCCACACAAAATTCACGCGGGCTACTGAAGCATGTGTTGAAAACCCCGAGCCCCTTTCACAGCTTTCCAGAACAATTTGTGTAAGGCATACGGGTCTCTTACGACAACAATTGAGGCCGATATTTCTGTCGCTATTTGAGACAGTTGTTAAGGCAGCTTTGCTCCATTTTACGACCTTGCTTGCCCACGGTTGCTAAGCGAATCACTGTACTTGTTCAATTAGTAAGATGATTGTTAAGTAGATCCAGCTTGCCCTTGGCTTGCCAGAAGCACTCCAGAGGGGATGGCGTGACACACACACACACACACACTTACTCCACGGGACACCGCAACTGTCAGAAGTACATGCCAGTTGCTAAGCATCTGAATTTTGATCACGTGGACCGTGAGGATGCTGCAGTGGTCATCAATGTGAAGAAAAGGTGATAAGTTCCTTTTTTTCAGGGCCATTATAACTTTGAACGGACGCTAAACAAAATATGTAAGTCGAGGATTTCCTGTATTCATCCTTGCTTCCCAAAAAGCAAAGGACAGGGCACCACCTGGTGGCTTCCCCAGTATAAAATGCAGTGGGGGCAAGAGATTTGCTCCCTCTCATGACTTCGGGGCAGGGTTGGGGGGAGCCCAGGTTTATTAATTAGTGATTTATTATTTATTAAACATGTTTATAGAACCACCCAGCTCTCATGCAGGAACTCTGGGTGGCTTAGAGCATTAAAAAAAGAAAAAAAAATCCCACACGGTTAAAACTCCAGGTCTTTCTTTTCTATCTTTTACTTTAGACTTTCCTTCTTGAAGCAGTGGGTTGGGCTAGAAGACCTCCCAAGGTCCCTTCCAACCCTATTATTCCACTTTCTACGTTGTTTGGAACTGTTTTTTTTTTTTTTGCTTTATGCAAAATCTGACAAATGACTTTGGAAGAGGAAACAGCTGTTTTTTTTGGGGGGGGGGTATTTTCACCCAGTATTTTCAGGGTGTCTGTGTCTACCTGTGGCACAGTGGTGGGATACAAATAGATGAACAACCAGTTCTCTGGGTGGATGCCGCTTCGGGAAGTCCGTTCTGGGCCTGGGCCACAAAAAAATTATCTACCGTCTCTGCCGAAGTGGTGCGAAGCGGCTGAATCCCACCACTGCTGTGGCAACAGGTCCTCCACCGGTGTCCGGTTGCTTCGTTGCTACCTGTGGAGTGTGTGTGATCCTGTAGACACCTTTCCCCGAGCCTGCAAAGCTACAGCTTGGCCGGCAGGGGGCGCTCTATGCCTTTGATAGACCTCCGCTGCAGATTTCCTAAA